TTGAGAGGCTACTTGCTATAACAAGAAGCTTCCAGAGCTTATGTGAGCTAACGGCGAGTGGCAAGCAAGCCCTCAGCCTCCAGCCACTGCTCTGGGAGCTCCTGCCCACCTGGTCTGCTCCTTTTATCTATAGATCACTCGTGCAGATCAGGTGAGAGCCCTGGGCTGTCCCCAAGCACTGTGAGGAAGGGTTGCGCATCATCTGAGGCCCCAGGTTCTGGGCTTTAAGAAGGAGTGCGATGTCGGAAGTCGCCCTGTCTGCAAGAAGCTGAGATCTTTTGTTTGTGCAGAAAGTCCTTCAGCATTGCCCCCTCCTCAGGGCTGGAGCAAGGTGTGAGGATGAAGACTGGACCTTCTCTCTTCTTTCAACCTAGTCATCTGGACTTCGGGGTGCTGGTCCATGAGTGGTGACCTGGGGAGTCTGGGGGCTGTCAGGTGTGGAAGGCACCAGGCAGGTTGGGGTGCGCTTCACTTGAACAATATCCACGTCACTCTGAGGGAGGACTGTGGGTAGCTGAGCTGACTCGATCCGTCACAGCAGGAGCCCTGGCGTGTGGCAGAGGCCACAGTTCTGACCAGTTTTTGGTGGCCACCCGCACATCAGCAGGCCCAGGGTGTCTCCTGAGCCCAGGCTGAGGCTCACTCCTGCTGGGTCTTCCCTGCTGCTGGAGGAATTGGGATGAGGGGGACAGGAAGGGGCACACCTGTCCCTGAGAGGATGCTGGCTGAGGCACACGGGAGCTTGTCTTCTGAGCCCGCACTGCTACTGCACGTGGAATCCAGCCACACCCCCACGCCTTGGGCTGCTGAGGACCAGGCCACGAAGCAGGGCTCTACCACCAGCTGCCACGGGATCTGACTACGGCTGACAGGGCACTCCTGACACAGGGACTTCTCAGGGTCCAGGGAAGCTTACGTATGGGGTGGCCCCAAAAGCTTTGGTCCACAGCAGAGTCTGCATGACACACCTCCCCTCCATCATCCCTGAGCCTTCTACCGGCCCGGGCCTCCGGGCCCATTCCAGCTGCATTCTTTGACCAGATTCCACGAACAGGCAACCTTGGACTTCGGCATTGCCTGCCCCGCAGCAATCTCTAGTGGATCTCAAACTACGCATCATCGCCCTCCTACAGCCCCTCAACAGTGCTGAGCCCAGCGATCAATCACCAAATACCTGGACACTGGGGCCCAGTGTGGCAGGGCTGGTGCTAGTTGATTCCAGGGAGATGAGAGCCAGGGGCCGAGGGCCATACCCAGGCACCTTTAGCAAGTGAGTGGACCGACTCTTTTCCCCACAGGTGTCCCCTACACGGGCTCTGCCACTGAGATCTAAGGCCCTTTCCCTTCTGGTCCCCTCGGAGTCCCTCCACCGGGCTTTCTGTAGAGGCAGAGCGAGTTCGTCCCAGGCCTCTTGGCTCGCCTCCTGCTTTCTCCCGAAGGCAATATTAATAAAGATGTCACATCTATAACTTCTTCCCAGATTGCAGCACGGGAGCCAGACGGCGAGGTGGGGGTCTGGGGGCAAGGCTCTCCACGATCCTTGCTGCAGCCTTTGGGACAGGAGGCCGTGTGTTGGAAGAGCTGTCAGGTGACTTCTGCAAGAAGGTGGGTGACTCCATCTCTGTTCGAAGTCTCTAATCCCTTAGCCCTTAAATCCAGAGGGCCTACCCAATGGGGCTCAAGGACAGGGAGCCCCTTTATTCCCAACCCCCCCGGGTCCCATGTGATGTCACAGCCTTGTGAACCTGGGTATAAAGGAACTCTTTTTTATTATTCGGCTTCAAGAAGGTGGCGTGTGCTCCAGCCCCAGCTCTGGGCACCACCTTGAGGGTTGTGAGGTGGGGGTCTTTCCCAGCCCCTCAGCCCCTGCATGTTGTGCACAGAAGGTATTCCTGAGTTTTCTCTCAAGCACAAAACCCCTCCAGATGGGCCTCAGTAGTCTGCGGCTCTGACCTCACTCTGCCCTGGTGCCTGGGGTCTCCAGGGGCCAGGGGACAGTGCTACCTGCCAGGCTGCTGTGCGTGCCTCAGAGAGCCCAGCTGCTGGCACCAGGCAGCATCCCAACGCTGTGCCCTCCCCTGGGGTGAAGACCACATGGGGGCTCTTTAGTCTTCGAGAGCTCCCCTCCTGGCACCCTTTCCTTTCTGAGCTTTTGTCTCCCCATTCTTCCACCCGGGACTCACCCTCCTCCCTTCTGAATCAGCCAAGTGTCCGTGGCGATTGGCCCAAGGCCCAGCTCTGGCCCTGTGAGCTGACCGTTTTGAAGAAACGGAGAAGCAACAGTGGGGTGAGATGGTGGTGGGGAGCGCCCTCCCCATCCTGCTTCTTCCCTGAAGTGGGGAGCATGTCCTCAGCAGACTGTGGTGCCTCATGGCCAGGGCTGAGCCGGCGTCTGGAGCAGTGTGACTACAGCCTGGTCACTTCCCAGGCAAGAATTGGATGTGAGAATTGTATAATAAATAATATAACAATTTCTTATCACAAAATTATATGATTATATAAATACATATATATAAATAATGTACACATATATATATGATTTATTATAGGGTTTTGTGTTGCCCAGTTGTGAGAGCTGATTAAACCGTCTCTGGGAGGCTGTCCCTTCTCTGTCTGGTGCCACAGCCTGAAGTGGGCAGCCGAGAAGGGAAAGTGGGTGTGAAGTGGGGGAAGTCAGGAAAAACAAGATGAGCAGAGCCCACAAGGATGGACTGGAACCAACTTGGATGATGGGGGTGTCCTGACTCTGGGGCTGTTCATCGTGCAGCCAAACACACCCCCAGCCCAGGAGCTGCAGAGGCTGAAGGAGGAGAGCCAGCCGGAGCTGGAGGAGCTGCGGCCCCAGGTCAGCGAGGTGAGCCTGCTGGTGAGCAGCGAGGTCTGTGAGCTGCCACAGTGCCTTGTGCCCTGCTCCAGTCTCCCACGTGTGAGAGAATATGGCTGCTACTTCACTCCTGCCTTCGAAATCTCAGCAAAACATCTCTGTGGTTCACACTAACCTGAAACCATGTAGGGAAGGGAATTCTGGAGAATGCGTCCACCACATACGGATGTCCACTACCCTTGGAGACCTGGGGGCCACCCAGGACACTGCAGCACTGTCCTAGAGGACAAGAGTGACCACAGGGGGGCCACAGGGACACTCTGCCCCGGTGTGGAGCCCAGTTCCCCAGCCTAGAAGCCCCCTTTCCTCAAGACAGGTTTCTGATAGAGACATTGTGAGCCTACTCTGACCCTAGAAGCAGACGGGGGCCATAGTGAACCACTCGACAGCTCTCCCTACCTGGTATTTTGGGGCACTGGGACCGGGCAGTTGGTGCCCAGCGTCTTCCCAAAAGGCCTTGGCTCCTTATACACCTCCTCTCTGGAGTCTCAAGATTCATGCCCCCCCACAAGCTGGGCACCACCTGCTCTCCATCTGCAAAATTCAGGGAGACCACAGACAAGACTCTTGAGGGGAACACAGTCGGTAAATTCACCTCTGCCTTCCCAGACACTGTTACCCACGGTGCCGCGATTGTGGCAGGAACGGTTATGTGAGGGTATAGACAGGAAGCCCAGAAAGAAAGGTGCTCACACATCCTCAGGGGTTCTCTCTGAGAGAGGGGTTATGCGTGATTTTTCTGCCCGCCTGTGCATCTTTTCTGTATTAAGCGTTTCTCAGTCAGCATATATTACTGTATCAGAAAAACAAGCATGTGTAATGGAGTCGGGTTTCCCTCGCTCCCTAGTCCGCTCAGAGCAGACCCCCTCATGGGGCAGGGGAAGCGGCAGCCAGGGCGAGCTTGGGGCCGAGCTGAGCCACGTGCATGCTGCCTGCCTGGCGTCACGGAACATCCCGTAGCTGAGCAAAGAGGTCACTTGTCAGCCTTTCAGACACCGAGGACGCATCCGGGGTGTGAAACTCCCAAAAGGTTTAGTCATCACTCTCTCGTCTCCCCAACAGTTTGCCAGTTGTCGGCAGAGATCTCAGGGGCGGGAGCTGGCAGACAGCATCCTAACATATGCGAGATCTGCCAAGGGGCGAGGGGAGAGGGGCTTGTCCCTGTAAGTATCAAACATCCCAGGTGCTGCATGTATAGTCACGCCCCTGGCCTTTCCGAGGGTGGCCGGAGTCCTAGCCCAACACAAACACCGTTTCAAAGGAACGAGGCGGACGAGAGCCTTGCAGAGAGCCGCAGCCTTCCCGAGGAGCCAGACACCAGCGAGAGCCAAGGGTCTGATCCAGCTTCTTTCCCAGGCCCTTCGCTTCCAAGTCACCATCTCAGAGAGCAGCGTCAACAACCTCACCTCACGGATGTGGAGGGAGCATGTGGATGTGCACCACTTGGGGACCAAACCTGGGTGTCCTGTAGCTCAGGGCACGTGCTCAACTCTAAGGGCCAGAGAAGCAGCAGGCACCCACGAAGGCAGATAACTTGGTACCTTCCGATTGACATTCTTGATACATGTGTTCACGTTTATTTGTCAAGTGCAGAGAAGGGACCAATCCTTCCCACACTGTGTGCAAAGCTGAGCCCTTCCTGAATGTGACTTTCTAACCCAGGCACTGCCAGAGGAGGTGTGGAGAGGCCGCTCATTTCTCTCCTGGAATCCAATTACATTTTGCCAATTAAGCTTATTTTCTGTGATACCGTTGTGCCCTTTAGTCAGGATGGCAGCTGTCCCTGCCTTCAATCAACTCTGCCCACTCTGGGGCCAGGGAGAAGCACCCACATCCCACCGCCAAGCCTCTGGGCCCGAGCCCCTTCCGTTGCCGGTCACACTACTGCATGGGCTATAATGCCCCATTTAAAGGGCCCAGCTCCTCTATGCTCCTGCTCTGACACCCCAGCTCCTCTGTGCTCCTCCGCTGACGCCCCAGCTCCTCCGTGCTCCTCCCCTGACGCCCCAGCTCCTCCGTGTTCCTCCCCTGACGCCCCAGCTCCTCCGTGCTCCTCCCCGACGCCCCAGCTCCTCCGTGCTCCTCCCCGACGCCCCAGCTCCTCCGTGCTCCTCCCCGACGCCCCAGCTCCTCCGTGCTCCTCCCCTGACACCCCAGCTCCTCTGTGCTCCTCCCCTGACGCCCCAGCTCCTCCGTGCTCCTGCCCTGGCACCTCAGCTCCTCCATGCTCCTCCCCTGGCGCCCCAGCTCCTCCTCCCACTGCAGGTGGGAAGGTCAGGCAGCGACCCAAGTCATAAGGCCAGTGATGTCAGAGCCAGGACAGGCAGCCAAGGGGTGGCAAAGACAAGCCCCTACTGAGATCAAAACTGCAGGAGGCAGCAGGCATCCCACTCCCACAGCAACCCTGAACCTGTCGCTCTCTGTGTCCCTTAAAGCACCCAGAAGCCTCCTCCACTTTGCCCTGATGGGCGCCTCTTACGAGAACAAATAGACTATGCAGAGCTAAGGGGAGCTTCCTGGCCTCTGGAGGGCTGTCTGTGGTGTCCAACTCAGCACACCCTGCCTCACACTCAGCAGGTGCCCAATAAAGTTTGCTGACTTGTGGATTCTGAACTCTCAGTGTGGGCAGTGGGTCAGCATGGAACACATAGGTAGTCATACCTGCATGGTCTGACTCAGTCCGAGGAAAAGAAATCTGTGAACAGTTGTCCTAGATGAAATCACTCAGTACTCAAGTGGTGGATGATGCTTCTCTTCGTCTCATCACTGAGCAAAGCTGCTGGGTTTGAGCACTGAAACCTCGCTCCAGGCATTCTCAACTCTGCTGCGCATCAGAAGCACCTGGGAAGGCTGCTACAAAGATGCACGCAGTGGACCCGCCCTGCGCGGGGCGTGCAGGAGCCGTAGATGCTCCCACGGGTCTCGAGGGCACTCCGGAGCCTGAGGACCACCAGATTCGCAGATGGGCAGACTCAGGGGACACTGCCCCAGCTCTGCCACTGAAGTCCTGTGAAGTTGGTGCTGCTCATTTTATTGGTCAGGATCTCAGCTTCCTCGTCTGGAAAACAGATATAATAAAACCCTGGACCCCTCTGACCATGTAGGTCCACCCAAGGCGCAGGAACTCACTCTGCAGACCTTACAAAGCAGCTGCCAGCCACGAATAGCATTTTATTTATGTAACAAGCACAGCTTTGCTCCATGACACTCAGATTCGAGAAATATCTCCTTTGATAATTTTTCTTAAAATTAAATCTAGCTAAGGCCGCTGACAAATCCCAACCTGGCCAGGTCACTTGGCCACCCCAGGGCAGACCTGGTTGAGTGCCACAGTCCCCACTAGGGCAGGTTGCACGCACAGCTGAGTTAGCTGGGCACCATAAGCCCAGGAATGCACCTCAGCCAGGCAGCGGGCCCCTCTGGCCAGCCCATGTCACGGCCAGCCATCACTCGGAAGCCTCGCGATCCTGAAAAGGGACAGACAGTTCAAGGTCTTTGGGTTTTGGAAGACCTACCTTATGTTTCTTCTCCCAAACCCACCCCCCAGCCTGATCTCTGGTCTAGACTGGACTCCCCACTTGACAGTAAAACGTTTCTACTCAGCACTCAAACTTGGGTTGCTTAGGGTTTTTTTCAACACCCCGCTCCCCAGGGTTGGCCAGACATCCAGAATTAGTAACATTAGGGCCTCCCTCTGCCGCTCAAAGACTTGGTTCTACATGAACCCAGGGCCCATGGCAGAGAAGCCCTGTCCTTGGTCAGCTTACTCCACTGGGCCTTTGCTACGTTGACCATGAGCTTGGCCACGGGGCCTCTAGCTGCTGCTCCTGCTGTCACAGCCCCGGGTATCCAGCCTCATGCCCACCCCCAACATCTGTGCAGCCACTCTCCCATCTGGGGGTGCCAGGGCACCAGTCTCTGCCAATCACAGTAACCAAACCCCAGCCCTTCCCTCAAAGCGCACACGGCCTCCTGCCCTGACGCCCATTGTCCTTGCTTCTGCAGACCCAAAGAGGGGCTGAGGGGGCCTGTCTTGAGGGGGGCCCTGGATATACAAAGAAACTGTTGATCCTCTCCCAGGGTGAGGAGGCCAACTCAGCACACAGAGCCTTGGCTGTTCTTCCAGGAAGAGGGGCCACAGAGCGGAAATCAACCTTTCCATTATTTTCAGGCTCCTGAAATTCAGCAGCAGTATCAGGTCCAGTGTCATATCTCAGCACAGCCAAATCAGCACCCATATTAGCCAAATAATGCAGTTAGTCATAAGCACAGTTTAAACGCAGGTGGGGGGGTGGGCAGTATGCCTCAAGTCAATGTACCTCCTTACCTGGAAACCCTGACCTCCTGTGTGCTCTCTCACGCTTTCTCTGTACAGACCTCCTTCTCTATGTTGGGAGACACACCCTGGTCTACTGCCCTCTCCTGAGTCCAGGTGGAACCTGTCCCTTGCTCCTAGCCAACAGAATATGGCAAAGGTGTGGGCTCGTCCCTCAGCTGATTCACTTGATCACACTGCATTATGTCTTAGCAGACCAGAGCGGGAAACCCTCGAGTGGGAAACCCTCCAGCTGGCCCTGAAGAAGTGAGCTGCTGCACTGTGTGAGGGGGCTGCGTGGCAAGGCACTGCCAGCCTCTAGGGGCTGAGAGTGGCCTCAGCCGACAGCCAGCAAGAAAGCGGGGACCTCAGTCCTACCACCAGAAGGAGCTGAATTCTGCCAACAATCCCGTGAGCTTGGAAGAGGCGCCCAGCTCTTGAAAGGAACACAGGCTGCCAACACCTGAGCAGGGGACCCAGCTAAGCCATGCCGATTCCTGACCCATGGAAATGACGAGATAATGAAGGCATGTGTGTTAATCTACTAAGTTTGTGGTAATTTGCTACACCGCAGTAGAAAACTAGACAATTTCTTTCCTATTTCATCATGTCAAGTGAACATGTCATCAGCACATAAGGGTCTGGGTCTAAAAGAAAGCAGACACGAACCAGGCCGCTTGGCTCTGATTTCCAACTCCAAAGGCAGCTCCCGCCACTAACCTGCTGTGTGTCCCTGAGCAAGTCTCGGCTCTCCGTCAACCAGGGGGCCGCCTAGGGCTCTTCACCTCTTGCAGCTCTGAAATTCAGTCTCTAGTTTCAAGAGTAAGATCTTACAGAGCCGAAGAAGTCACATTTATTTCCACATTCTCTTATCTTCGATTCCATCAGTCCACTGATCCTTCATTCAAAACCAGAGCAGAGGTAGAAACCAGCACGGATGTCAGATTCCCTGGAGACTGGAACACCTGCAGGGGCCTTCCTGGGCTCCGGCCAGCCTCACAGCCCCCAGCCAAGTTCCCTCTCTGGCCTCCAGCCGGAAGCCTACCAGGACTCAAGGGACAGCCTAAGCAACAGAAAGCCATTTTTCAATGCAAATTGTGCACTGCTTTGGGAACAGGCTGCTGGCTAAGCAAACTTGTCCCGTTTTTCACCTGTCCCAGCACATTCTTCTGAGCCCTGAGAGAGAATAATGGGAATCACAGCTCCCGTTCACAGGCTAATTCACACAGGAAGTCACGGTGCCCAGGAGGGTGAGAAGCCTGTTGCAGGGATGTCCCCAAGCCTCCCTCTGCAACCCAAATCAGCAACGGGGCAGGGAGGGGCTGGGGCCTGGATGTGCGGCTGTGCAGGTCAGGGAGCACCGAAGACCAAGTGCTGACCCAGCCATCAGAGCCACTGAGCCCCAGGCTTGTGTCTGTGGTCAGCGACTCATGGCTGCCCCGCACCCGGCCACCAAGACACCCTGCTGCAGACCCACGAGTGTATTGCAGGGAGTCACCCAGGACCCCCTCGGCCCGGTTTGAGCAGCACTCACCCTCGCTCTGCCCCTGCCACGCCCTGCTCAGCCCCGGGCCCTAACTCCAGCAGCAGGCAGCTGGCCACCCTGTTCAGTCCCACCTTCGGGATCCATTTACCACACTCCAAACAAGCTGAACGATGCCTGCTGGGTGCCAGCCTCCCAGCCCGGCCCAGAGGGTGGGCACAAAGTCAGGTGAGCTGGAGTGAGCCCACTGGATGCCCACCAAGATTCATTCAGACCATTTGTGTGTGTGTGTGTGTGTGTGAGGAAGATTGGCCCTGAGCTAACATCTGTGCCCATCTTCCTCTGTTTTCCGTGGGACACTGCCACAGTGGGGCTGGAAGAGCAGTGCTAGGTCCGTACCCAGGATCCGAAAATACGAACCCCAGGCCGCCAAAGTGGAGCACGTGAACTTAACCACTATACCACCGGGCCAGCCCCCATTCAGACCATTTTTAAGCAAGCAAGCTGGTGCTGTCACAGGAATAGCAGCATCTCCAGAAGGGTCTAGAAATGACTCTCAGCTGCCACCACTGCCACATGGGACACCAGAGGACCCTGTACATGAGTGGACGTCCCTCTACAGAAGTGGGCTCCTTTCCCAGAAAGCCAGGTCCTCCCTGAGGCTTGTCTTCCTGCTATCCATCAGCACTTTTAGGGGAATCTCCCTTACCTCCCCGACCCAGAGCCCTGGGAAGCCCTGAAGCATGTCCCACATGCAGTGAGGCCATGTGAAGTAGCAGCAAGAAGTTACCTGGACCGTGGCTCTCCACAGGGCTGCCCAGTCAAATCACAGGGAGCTTTTCACAACATCATGTGCCCAGGCCTGTCCACCCCCAGAAGGCAGAATGGTGGGGAGTGACCCAGCCCCAGCACGGTGTGGCCTTTGTAAGTCAGTGAACCTCATGGAGCCCGTCTTCTCACCTCTGGAATGGGGAGGATGACAGCACCATCTGGCTGTGAGAGGAAATGAAAGAATCTGGTGCTTCACACACCCTTTCTCACGACAGGGTGCAGAACGTGAAAATATTTGCACGATGCACTGAGTAAAGGAACAAGACCACTTGGAGGTTCCTCCTGGCCCAGACCCTCACCCAGAGCTGGAGGGCTCCCATTCTCTGTCCCCGTTCCCATTCACATGCAGGAAGATGCTGAGGGGCAATGGTGCAGAAGGCCTGGTCACCTTAAAGCACCAGGCAGGGGTCTAGCATATGCTAAGCCCCCCACCCAGTGCTGGTTTTGTCGTCTCAACAGAGAGGTCTGAGACAGAGCAGACGCATCACCATTTTTAATGAGCTCCCTGCATGGTTCTGGAGCAGCTGGTCTGCAGCACCAGGTTTGGACTTTTGGTTCTAGCCGGTCAGAGCCAGTAGGCTCTTCCCCAACAGGGTCACTAGCTCCCCCACCCATCCCATCCTTTCCTGCAGCCCACCCACCATTACGGTCCTGGTCCTCCCAACCTAATTAGCAGGCAAATCCCGTTCTGGGAGAACTGAATGGGCCTCTTCTGCTCCAAGGGGATCCCTCACAGTGTCTCTTTGTAGCCAGCCGGGATCCCGACCAGGCCAGACTGGGTCCTCAGCTGTTTACCCTTCATGCAATTTTGACTTCGCCTCCCGGCTTCCACCTTCAAAGCTGCGATCAGGGCGTGTGGGGGCTCCTGTGGGGCCCCATTTTCCTCTGGAAAAGTGGCTGGCCACAGGCGGGGCCCTGTCTGGCTGCCGCAGACAGGCCTTGGGCTGGCTGTTGGCAGGGGGCGAGTCGACCCAAACAAACGCACTCTGGAGGTGAGAAGCGCAAACAGCCAGGCCAGGCAGAGGGGAGACTGAGTTCTGGCCAACGGGGGCAGACACTGCTCCTGCAGTCCAATGCTCCCACACCCCATGAGGGGCTCCCCCACCTTGAGGGAGAGCAGCCAGAGAGGGCTGCAGTGAGGCAGACATTCCTCCAGACTAGGCAAGGCCCCTCCCCTCTGCGGGAGAGCCCAGCTCCAGTAAGGAATGAAACAGCAGATCTCTCCAGAGAGGGCAAGGCCCCAGGTGGGGTGGGGTCACAGCTCTGCCTGGGGGTTGGGGCTCAGCTCCTGCAGCAGGAACTGGATAGAAGTGTGGGAGCCAGGGCTGGAAGCTACCTGGGCCCCACCCTTGGCCTCCAGAACAGGCGGGAGCCCCCCACTGGGCCCTGCTTACCAAACCAGCCTCAGCCACTCTTGGGTTGGAGAACTTGGGGTAACTGTTGGCATGAGCATGGGGTTTGGAGTATCGGTTAACTCCACAGCAAGACAGGGCATCTGGGCCCAGGCTCCATGGGGGTCGAGCCTTAACTCCTGCCTGAAGACGCCAAGAGCTGCCTGACCTCCCCGTGAGCTACCAACTGGCAGGGCTGCATGGGGGTTCCTGACTCGAAAGCATGAACTGCCCCCCATGGGGAAGAGAGGACAGGACCCTTATCCCTACTCATGCACTCATCAGATGGAGACCATGGGGAGAGGGGCAGGCACTGGGCGAGTGAACCCAGCATTAAAACCTAGGCCTTGAACAAGTGACCACAAGATTAGAACTCAGGCCTCAAGCAAATGAACCCAGGATTAGAACCCAGACCTCAGGCCAATGACCCCAGATTTAGAACCCAGATCTCGGGAAAGTGAGCCAAAATTAGAACCTAGACCTCAGACCAGTGACCCCAGGATTAGAACCCAGGCTTCGGGCAAGTGAACCAGGAGTTGAACCCAGACCTTGGGCAAGTGCACCCAGGATTAGAACCTAGGCCTTAAACAAGTGACCCCAAGATTAGAACCTAGACTTTGGGTCAGTGACCCCAGGATTAGCACCCAGGCCTCGGGCAAGTGAACCAGGATTAGAACCCAGGCCTCAGGCCAGTGAACCATTATTAGGACCTGGGCCCCAGGCCATCCAAGTCCGGAGTGTCCTCACTTCCTGGAGCAAGGAGCCCTGCCAGGTGAAATATGGACTCAGTGTGCTGCCTTGAGTCCCCCAAACCGCTGACCTCCCTCACTCTCGACATCGCCTTGTACGGGTTGATGGGTCTTAGGGTGGGCACCTCCCCACACCCCACTCCCCTGGCCCCTCCTTGCCCAGTGCTGGGGCCCATGGGGTCCACCACCAGACCCCAGGAGGGTTCTTCCCAGGAGGATTCCTGGGCCACCCAGACCTACAGAAGCCGCTAGTCGGAGCAGGGCCAGGGCACCTGCAAGTTTATCAAGTCTGGGTGATCCCAGTGCCCTCCCAGAGGAGAAGGTGGGGAAAGAAAGGGAGACAGGTAGGACCAAGGTCCCAGCACTGCCCCCACCCAACACCCTGCTCCCACTTCCAAATGAGGACCAGAAACTACACAGGTTTCAGAACTTATCCAAGGCCGAGCTGGTACCCAGCTCCAAGGACTCAGAAGAAAGCTTGGGGGCGGGGCAGCGCCTGGAGGGGTTGGGGTCTCGCCCTTTTCAGCTCCCCGCTCCCCATCTATCCAGTTTGACTGCACTAAGTTCAGGTCTGGGCCCCAGCCACGGGCCTGGCCCTTGGCGCCCACACAGCCGGGGTCTGCCAGACATCCCCCGGGCAATGCTGTCACTATCTCGTGCAGCCGGGGTCTGCCGGGCTACAGCCAGGCCAGGTGAGCAGCAGACCCCACATCCTCCCACTCATTGCACAACTCCCCTCCCCCAACCACCAGGACAAGTATTAGTAACCCCATTGTGCCCCCAATTGAGGCCCCCAGAGACCAAAAAACCACCCCACGGTCCTTGTAAGACCTCAGGCTGCAAATCCCTCCCACCGCAGCCAGTCCACGGAGCTTTTGGGAGTTCCGGGGCGGGGGGCCTTCCCCCAAGGTCAGAGCGCCCCCTGTCTCCTGCCCGGTGCAGGCACAGGCGACCATCACTGTCAAGTTGGCCGTACAGCTCTTTACAATCACCATCCCGGCGCGGTGGGTGATCCTCCCGCCGCTCGGGAAGCCTCACCTCTACTCAGGGAAAAAAAAGGGGCTCCAGAGAGGTGCAGGGGGCCACGCCTGGGCTCTGAGAGGGCAGAAGCCATCCACAGCGACCCCCAGCAAGCTAGAAGGCCGAGCCCTATAGCCATGTGGAGGCCCAGGAGCCTGAACTGGCGCCCCCACGGCAACAGCACCCGTCTCGGCAGGGAGCGGCCGTGGGAGATTTGTTTCTACGTTTTCCAATTTCCTACGAGGAGATCTTTTCATAATAATAATAAAACAACTTTTACCAAAGCACACTGCACGGTGGCGAGGCTCGCGCAGGCTGCAGCAGCCCCTGGACCTCCTGCATCGCGGGCTCCCGGGCCTGGCTCTGCAGCGCCGGGACCGAGACCACCCGCTCCGAGCCCGGCTCCGCAGAGGCGGGGCCCCGGCCGTGCGAGCCTGGGGCCCCAGCGCACGCGCGCTCACGGTCCTCAGGTCGGGCCACGGGAGCAAAGCTTTGCGGACAGCGCCCCCTGCCGTCCTGCGGCGCCCTGGGCCCTGCGCCTGCGAACGGCTCTGGCCAAACCCCAAAACCCGGCTCCTGGTGCTGTCGAGTTGCACAGGGAGTACTGGATCTTAGAGACTAGGGGGCAACTCGCCACAGCCCTGTCCTCCACCCAAATTCCGAAGCTCCCTGTCCGCACGCAGAATTGGGGCCTCCCGTTTGCGAGGAACTGACTTTGGAGGAAACTAAGTCACAAGAGGATCTTAAAACCCGAGACCAGGCATGGGAACCTCACAAAACGCAGTGGCTGTTTGCTGGCCGTCCCTACTTGAAATCTTCTGCCAGGGGTCTCAGACCCTGGCTCCTCCAGGCCTTCACAAGGCGCACAGAGAGACCACTGACACTGGGTGCTCACTGGTTGGGGGCTCAGGCTCACCCAGGTCAGTGCAGGGCACCACCTCTAGAGACGTTCTTGGCCGGGGCCTCGCTTTAAGAAATACTGGCCTAATTCAACCCTCATTTCATAAAGGACAAACACGCAGGGACTTGCCTGAGGTCACACCGCTCCGGGGAGGGAAAAGCTCTGACAGCACAACTGCCACCCCACCCTCATCCCACAGTTAAAGAAACCAGGAGGCTGAGAAACCACCCCCATCCCAGCTCTGCCATCGCTGGCCGTGCGCACGTGGGCAAGTCCTTGCCTTTCTCCCAATCTCTCAGGTCTGTGTTCTAACACGAAATGATTGGCAGTGGACCCTCCATGATTCTAGAATTCCCGGGGCAGGTGCAGACTCTCACTCAGGTTCAAGTTCAGAGGTCATCCGCTGAAATCCTGCAGCTTTGTGTCCTGTTTGCATAGGTATTTTTAAATTACTCCCAGGAGTAATTAACTTCCAGGTCATTAATAAGTATGTGGCTCGGCACTCAGGAGCCACTAAATTAAAGTGTTTTTGTGATCAAAAGGAAGGCAGAAGAGATTGGGGGCCGGTGGATCTTACTAGCGCCCTTCACTTTCCATCTCACAGAGGAAGATCCACTCGGCTGGCCTGGGAGGAGACCACCAAGATCAGAAGGCACCCAGACCCTCCACCACCCATTCCACAGGAGCCAGGCTGCTTCTGAACAGGCTGCTCTGAGCTGGGTTCTGCCCTACTCCCGCTTCCATTTAGCTCCCATCTGCTCTGCGCTCAAGTATTGTGATGCAAATTATAAAAGCACTCTTAGCTCACATATTTCATTAACGATCTGAGGGACTGGACCAGTGCATGGGGGAACAAATCTCATTTGCAAGTTAATCAAAATAAAGACTGTGGAGCTAATAAAACTCCTCTGAGCCATTATACATTCAGGAACAACATCTAAGTCCTGAAATGTGTTTTAAAGAGTTTTTCCTAAAGTGATTAAGCTGCTTTAGTGTATATATTATCATTTGAATGGCTCCTGCTGGTATTTTTAAGAATCCCTCCCCCAGGTTGGAAACAAATTGGAATGCTGTTACACACACCTGGGGCCCCTCAGCCTGCTCCTGAGATGAATGGAGGAGCTGCCCCTCAGTGTCCCCAGCCCCTGGGGCACCTGGGGCTACTTCCTGCCTGCCCCCAGAAGCCTTGTCCAGCCCACCCAGAGCTCCGGGCTCCACCACTTACTGTTTCAATGACCTAAAGCAAGTTTCTTTGTCACTCTAAGCCTTGGTTTCCTCATCATCTGTAAAATGGCATTAACTGTACCTGTGGTGAAATACCACTTTTGGAGCAGTGCCTGGCACGTGCTGTTTGATAAATGCTATTTCTTTGAACCACTGCCTCTCCTCTGGGGTTAGCCAAGTGGTGCTCAATAAGTATTTTTCAAATACATGTACTGACCAAAAAGTTCAGAGACCATGTCTGTCTTATTCACCAGCAGACTTTCTGTGCAAACCCAGTGCCTGGCAAGGTAAGTTGGTGGACAACACCATGCCCTACACTCAGTATCCACTCATGCATCTATATTCAATATCCAATTTGCAAACCTGCACTAGAATCCCCTGGGGAGAGTTTAATATACAGTTGTCCGGGCCCTATCCCCAGAGCTTCTGGCGGAACTGATTTGAGACGGGGCTTGGGCATTGATATTAATTTTTAAGCACACCAGCTCACCCTAATAAGCAGCCAGGGTTGAGAAGCTCAGTTCTAAACCTACAAGTGGCCCCCACATGGTGTGTCCCCATCGTGTAGGGAGGACACTGGGAATTTTAAATTCCAAGTGCTTGCAATGCACTGTAACTTTGCCTCGTGTATCATCCTAGGTAAATCACAAGTCTTGTCCCAACCTGTTTTCTTATGTGCAATGATTAGTTTAGATGAGGTGTTCTGGAAGGTCAGAATCCAAAGAACAAATCATTATTGGGGTTTCTTATGGGCCGAATTATGTCAATTTCCCCCCCCAAATTCATATATTGAAATCCTAACCCCCAATACTTCAGAAGGTGACTGTATTTGGAGAGCGGGTCTTTAAAGATGTTGTCGACGAAAATAATCCATAACCAATCTATAAATGAAAATTTGGGTGAGTTTATTCTGAGCTTAAATCTTAGGATTATAACCCAGGAGAGTCTTTCCACAAAGGAACAGAGCACTCCAAAGTGGGGGTATAAGGGTGGTTATATACCCTCAAAGAGGGTGTTTCACATATGATTGAAATGTCCCTCCCACAATAGTCACAAGATTGCCCTGTCGGCACAGCGCTTGATGGACACAGCAGGTAGTGGTCTGCTATCTTGGTGGGCATAGCAGGAGGCAAGTCTATTGTCTCCAGCTGGGTGGTCACAGGTGGGCGCAGCAATCAGTTTCTAGCCTAAGGAAAGATACTTAATCCTTAAGGAGACGCCAACGTTGGGAGGAGGAGGGAAGTTGCACCTTTATCTCAAGGGCCTTTTGCTCTTGCCATAGGGAATCTCTAAAGCAGATATACAATGCATGCTCAATGGCCTCAGTCAGGCCCTTTTGGAAAGACAAGGTCAGGCCGAATTAGGTTTATACCAAATGGCTTCCTCATATATTCCAATATATCCTATTACTTGCCATTTTTATTTGTCAACGTAGTTAAGTTAAAATGAGGTCATTTGAGTGAACCTTAACCCAATGTGACTGATGTCCTTATAAGAGGAAGAGATTGGGACACAGACACACAGATGACAGACCATGCGAGAGAGGCCTCAGAAGAAACAAACCAGGCAGACACTTGGCTCTCGGACTTTCAGCTTCCAGAATTGTGAGAAAATAAATTTCTGTCGTTTAAGACACCCAGTCTGTTGCACTTTGTTATGGCAGCCCCAGGCGACTAATAGAGGACTTATGTGCAAAATAGCACCTGGATTATTCTTTCTTTGGACGATTCTGCGTGTGGGCATCCCACACTCTGGGCAGGTTCTCTCTCTCCTTTGGGCCACTGCTCCCCTGCTGGGGGATGGCCAGTCCTATCAACTCTACCCCATCTCTCCTCCTCCGGCTATCACCCTCATACAGAGGTTCCCCGCCCTCCGGTTGTGTGCTGGAGACTCCTGACAATGCTCAGATGCCATCAGCAGCATCTGCACCATGCGGGTTAGCAACTCACTTACTGATCTACAGCTCTGCCGGGTCCTGGGCCAGCTTTACCTACCCCATCCGTTTTACTCCTCAGACCTCTCCTGAAAACCTCTCCTCATCCCTCTTCCGCAGATGAGGAGAGTGAGGCTCTAAGACGCGCAGCAATGGCTCTGACGTTCCACGCCACGTCTGATTCCAAAGCCTCCGCCTGCTCCTGGCTGCCTGCTACCTGGGCTGTCCATCACACGGCCCCCCACCTTATGGCCGGGAGCCTGGAAAGCGAAGCATGCAGGCCTTCCGCCTTGTCCTTCACTGTCCACACACCCCTGCTCCAGCCCCAGGGGGGCTGGCACACCAGTAAGCACATACTGGGTAAGCAGTCCACAGCACTCACCCTAGTGGGCTTTCCTAACAGCTGTGAGATCGTCTCTCCTCCATGCATCACTCCACCCTTCAGCAACCCCATGGCTTCCCCACTTCCCTGCTGGGAATCCCACTCTCCACTGTCATTGCCTGTCTTCCTCCACCCCAGGTTCTAGTCTTCTCTACAGGCTCCTCAGCTTTCTCCTGCAGGGCCATTCTCAAGCTGTCAAAGCCTTTAAACAATTTGAGAGGCTTGCTGATTTGTTAAATTCACCAAGCCTTTAGGGCTTCTCTGATGGCTGAGACTCGCTGACTGCAGACACCGATCTTTCGCCTGAAGGCAGCATCAGCAGGACTCGGAGGTTGCTGGAGATGTAGAATCTCAGGTACCCTCCAGCCCCACAGACACCCACTGAACCAGAATCTGCAGTTTAGTAAGATTCCCAAGACAGGTTCTCAACCTTGACTGCGCACCGGAATCACCTGTGGAGCTTTAAGGGTACCGATGCCTGGTGCCACCCGAGATGCCGTTCTGGGTAAGGCCTGCACAGCCCCAGTGATTCTAATGTGCAGCCGCAGGCTATCTGGGGTTCCCAAGCGGGGGGCTCCAGCAGGTTTCGCGGTCAGGCTGAGAGACTGGGACCAGCACCGGGAATACCCCATTCTGTAGTCCAAACCTGGGGTGGAGAACTGGCAGCCTCTCAGTGTTTTAGGACAGACTTCACACTCCAGCTTGCCATGGGTCTCATAAAGACTTAGATCTGTCTGGCCCCTGCGACCTTTCGATCAGAAACATGCACGCAGCCCAGTAAGCACTGCCACGATGGTGTGAGCAGACCCTCCTGTAGCAGCTCACACGTCTAGTCATCCACTCCCACGCTGCTAAGAGGTAACTCATTAGAACGCGGGGTGGCAGGGAGCAACGGGCACTGTTAAATTCAAACATTCCTGCCCTGTGACACAGCAGTCCACATCTGGGGACCCGCTCCACAGAAACACAACTGTACAGACACAACCAAAGTGGTCACAACAAGCTTTGTTTAAAGAGTGAAAAACTGGAAACAGCCCAAATGTCCCCCAGCAGGAAATTATAATGTATCCAGGTATGATGAAATACTATCATCGTTAGAGAATGAAATAAACTTACAATTACTGACATAGAAAAGCATCCAAAATGCTCTGTTCGGGCAAAAAAAAAAAAAAAACCCTCAGAAAATTGCAAAATACCATGCATAATAAGGATACTTTAATAAAAATGGTAAATACTAGTATACACAAGGGAAAAAAGCAATTATTTTGAAATGGGAGAAGGCAGTATTATTATAAGAGACTTTCTTTTTATAATTTCTGTTTTTCCAGAGATTATCAAAGAATCTGAATGCCCTTAGAAAACAGATGAAACAAAGAAAGGTAAGAACATTCTCAAAGAGCTTTAAAACATTAGGTCATTGATAATACTGCAGTAATGGTATACTGATCACAAAATAGACATTGTAAATATAAGCTTTATTTTAAATTTAAAGAAAAACTGAAAATAAACCTTTTACAAATTAATCAAAGACTTAAAACTAATTCGGAAATATTAAACATGAATTCTTAATTCAAAATAATGACCTTCATAGAATATATCCTGGTCTGGGCCAATATGAAGTTTACTTAAATCTAGTATTTTATATAAGCTAACCATTAATCTTTCCTAAAATTCAATGATTATGATTTAACTTTATAAGGTTAAGCAAGTCTTCTATATAATACCACATATAACTTTTTGAAATACAAAACATTTATACCAGCAAGGAAGTTATACAAACGTATGTAAATGATACTGAAGGTCTTGATTAAAAGGCTGTCGATATACACAGATGTATATTTCACCTTAGAAAGCACGCAGGCACACAAAAACACTTAATCAAATATAGATGCCATTACATTCTCTTATAGTTACGCTACACAGCAAACTGCACGTTTATAAATGTCACTCTATTATGCATGAACTGAAAAATATATATATTAAAAAAAATGTTCTTTAAGACAGGGGAGTGGAATGTGCCTGCATTAAGGGAGAAATGCAGGGGCTTTACAAGACATCAACAAACCGCCTTTCTCCAGCGGGTTCCCAGGAACCAGTGAGAACAGCCACCACACTCAGAAGGACAAGATGGTCTTGTTAATGATTTCCACGGACTCCCGAATCTCATCTTCCTTGATCACGAGCGGAGGTGCAAGCCTGATGATGTCACCGTGTGTTGGCTTGGCTAGAAGTCCATTATCTCGAAGTCGCAGACACACCTTCCAAGCATCATAATCTAAAGAAAGATGGCCAAACATGCACTGATCAAAGATAAATGTTTAAACACTCCTCTACAGTGTGCATGGGCACGGGCAGCCTGGCCAAACAGAATTCCCAGTACCAACTTGAGACAGGCAGCTCGGGCTGCAAGCTTGCTGTTTGTTCTTATTAAAAATGAAAGTACTTTAGGGCTGGCCCCGTGGCCAAGTAGTTAAGTTCGCGTGCTCCGCTGCAGGGAGCCCAGTGTTTCATTGGTTCGAATCCTGGGCGCGGACGTGGCACTGCCCATCAAACCACACTGAGGCAGCGTCCCACATGCCACAACTAGAGGACCCACAGCAAAGAACATACAACTATGTACCGGGGGGCTTTGGGGAGAAAAAGGAAAAAAATAAAATCTTTAAAATAAAAAAAAAAAAAGGAAGTACTTTGCAGCAAGTGCCTAACTAGGTTGGAATGGTATGATCAGACATATGGTTTTTATTAGTTTTTCATAAATGAGAAAGACCAAGCAAAAAAATTATGTGCTGAGGCTGCTGTATTAATTACATGAGGAACCAAGGCAAAAAGAATTTGGGTATGATACAGATAATTAACTGGCAGAGAATGAGCAATATTCACCACTCAGCAAACGCAACACATTCCTAACATGGATTTGCCTCCTGAGCTCGTGGACCTAGACTCTCATTATTTTACAGCATGATTCTCCACCCTGGCTGCACATTGGAATCACCAAAAGGGCCCCTGCTGATGCTGGGGCTCCACCCCAGACCCATCAAATCAGAATCTCCGAGCAAGGACAGGCTCAGACTAATTTTTTAAAAAGCTCCCCAGGTGATTCTAAAGTGCAGCCAAGGATGGAATCACTGCTTTAAAAGGATTATCGCAAGAAAATCCAGCAAGGAACCCTCAAGGCTTACAAACGACGCACTAAAACATCAAACACTCGATTAAGTGGCAGCTGTGGTTATTTCTATGACCAACTGGTTGTTGGGTTCCTCTGTTCTAGACTGTTGACTGACCTCCTATTGACCGAGTCTTTTAGGCAGAGTATCATCTTGTTACTGCTGCTCCTGCCGCCTCTACAGATATGCAAAGTACTAAAGTGAGGTGGGAAAGCACCGGGAAGAGGAAACAAAGGGAGAGTGCTCTGTGCAGACTCACTAACAGAAAAACCCTGACTTCGCCCAGTGCTGCATAACCAACCTCAGGCAGGATAACAAATGACTGAAAGGAACAAAAATGGAGCAAATTAGTTGAATGTGCCTTTGCGCAGGAAAGAGCTATCTTTTTAAGACCATTAATATAAATCAGATGATACTCTGCCTAAAAGACTCGGTCAATAGGAGGTCAGTCAACAGTCTGGAACAGAGGAACCCGACAACCAGATAAAGCACCAATGGTGTTCAGGTCTTCCTATAAAAACAATATTTTTTTTTTTTAAACATTTTTTTTTTTTTTTTCCTTTTTCTCCCCAAAGCCCCCCGGTACATAGTTGTATATTCTTCATTGTGGGTCCTTCTAGTTGTGGCATGTGGGACGCTGCCTCAGCGTGGTTTGATGAGCAGTGCCATGTCCGTGCCCAGGATTCGAACCAACAAAACACTGGGCTGCCTGCAGCGGAGCGCTCGAACTTAGCCACTCGGCCACAGGGCCAACCCCTATAAAAACAATATTTTGAGTAAAATGTTGTGTCTCCGTACCTTTGGTTTCTCTGATAACAATAGCATTTAATAATCCTTTCCCTCTTACGGCAGTGACAATATCAGAAGGTAGCTTCATGAGTTCATTTCTCAAGACGGTACCCATTTTCTCTGCATTTTCAACAAGGTTTTCTTCTTCCAAGACCTATGTTTAAGGAGAAATTACACAAATGTTGAGATTGCCTTTTTTGATGTTGTTCTTGGGAAGGGAACGTGAACTGTAAGGGAAGGAAGCACACGATCAGATGCCGACGAGAGTGACTTCACGTCCGTTTCTATTTCTCTAAGCCTCTCCCAGTTTAACTTCGCATTAAATGTACACCAGCTCAGACAGAACCTTGCTCTAGTCACAAATCCATCATCAGTCAGATGTGATGGCAAACAGGAATTAAAATTTAATACAACTGGTATATTTTCTTATTAGTTGAATAAATCAAAGAACTAAATATATTTTAATTTTTAAACTGCAACAGAGTTTCCTTCCCTCCCTAAAAAGTCCATCTTTAGAGATTACATAATAATTCTATGCCTTTGGCAGACACTTAAGGAATAAGTCTAAAAATGTTCAAATCCACATTTTAAAAGAAAAAGCCATGTGTGCTACAGCAGAGGCCCGACAGGCCAGGCTCGGTCACACAGTGAGCTCTGCGAGGGCCAGCCAGGGCTATGGCCCCAAGGCCCTAAGCCACCTGGGACCTGGGAAGCCTCCAGAGGATTCCTGTCTACCTGGCCAAGGCTAAGTCACTGTTTGAGACTGCCTTGTCCCTAAAACCTTTCCTCCAGACTCCATGCTCCACATGCTTGCCAATCTTATTACATTTCTCCTTACACCTATGGCTCGGACTTAAAAGTCACTTCAACGCCACCTAGAGGAATGGGTACCACATGGCTGCATCAGTTTTTACCTCAAGGGCTGCAATGGCCACTCGGCAGCCGAGAGGATTGCCACCGTATGTTGACCCATGCTCCCCTGGTTTAATGGTCAGCATTATTTCATCATCACACAACACCGCAGATACCTGAAAGACAGAGAAGTCAGTGCTAACCAAGTCATGTCTCAGACTATTCTTTTTTTTTTTTTTTGCTGGGAAAGATTTGCCCTGAGCTAACATCTGTTCCAATCTTCCTCTCTCTCTTTTTTTTTCCTACCTCCACAAAGCCCCAGAACATAGATGTGTATTATACTTGTAAGTCCTTCTAGTTCTTCTATGTAAGCCGCTACCACCACATGGCTACTGACTGATGAGTGGTGTGGTTCTGTGCTGGGGAACCAAACCTGGGCGGCCAAAGCAGAGTGCTCTAAACTTTAACCACAAGGCCATCAGGGCTGGCTCAAACTAACTACTCTTATGTTTAGCACACCAGGAACACAAATATATATGAAGCTGATATTACATTTGACATAAAGCTTCAACAAACAAGAGCTAAACATCTGCCATCTTAACTAACAGTGACAAACTGAGGAACACCCCAAGAGTACAAGTGCATCAGGCATACTTCAATGGCACAGAACAAGAGCATTTTTGAATTAAGACAAAAGCTATTTCTGCAATGATGGAATTTAGAATTCTTTCCACTTTCAAGGTGAAATGCTTTGTTTAACTGCTTAGAAAACAGCATTCCACACTTTAATACATCAGAGCCCTCTAATCCAGCACCAGCACTACCTCTGAACAGCAAGCTCAAGAACAGAACTACAAACATTAACTTTTCCCAATCTATACTTGAATCATTCATGGTTTTAAATTAGTAATGCTGTGTTTCTGAACAATGGAAAAAACGTGGAGGCCTACAGGAGTACTTAGGGGGTACATGTTTCCATTCCAGTCCGAAGCAAATGTTGTGGCAGATTCTAATGCCTGCTCAACTCTTCAGTTAACATTTACTAAGCAGATCACCCTAGGGAACTCTGAAATGTTTTCATTATATATATTTCAGGTGACCTAGAGCACACTAAATAAAACCAAACCATTGGAAAATATTATTGTCAAAATCAGCTGACGTAAAAATATCTTAAGGATACATTTCAGGGGAGTAGGGAACAGAACTCACAGGGTATAAGCCACCAGAAAGTGCCTTTCCAAGAAGGACTATATCAGGTCTGACGTTTTCATGATCAACAGCCAGCCATCTACCAGTTCTGGCCAATCCCGTCTGTATTTCATCAGCAATAAACAGAACCTATTGGAAAATAACATAATTATTATTATTTTCGTTTCCACCGGGAAAAGAAGGACCTCTATTTTACCTTTCCCCAAACAAATCTGTCATTCTGAGATTCCTTCGCATTTGTGAAAACATTTTAGCAACCTACACAACTTCAACAGAATTCTATGAAAATCCTGTAGACACACCAATTACTTCCTGTGTAGGCCACTCTCCCCAGAGGCCCACTCTGCACTGTTCTACGTAGTGGAAAGGCACTCGTGCTAAGTGAGGGTTTTGTGGGGGGTTTTGGAGATAACTACTCTCTGGGAACAAATTAATTCACTTATTTATTCCATAAACATTTATTAAATATTTATTTCTTATTAAATATTTACTAGCTTGGTGGGAAGAGGAGCAGAGAGCTTAAATGTCGGAGCAGAGGGATACAACAAGGGGTCCAGGAAGGATCGCAGCCCAGGCTGCCGGGGAGGAGGGGAAGGAAGCACAGGGAGGGAGGGCCGGGCAGTCCACAGCTTGGCCAGGGCCAGGGTCTGGCCAGGCTCCAGAGCCAGTAAAAACCTGGCCTCCGTGCAGACTGCTGATAGAGAGCACTAGAAAGTTCTGAAGCTCTCAGGATGACGTCTCCCTCTAGTGGAAAGGTGATGTAATCTTTTCATTTATCCTACCAGCCAAACCCTAAAGGATGCAGGCGGGTGGGAACAGGGACAACCTGGTGCCTGGTGCAGAGCTCTCGCACGCCTGTTAGGTAGCCTAGATCCGGAACAACAACACCAGCTTCACCCTGAATTGGTTCTACCATGAATGCGGCAACATTTGGATCCTGAAGAGCACGCTACAAAAAAATATGAACACATTTTAGTAACTTCCTTTCTAACCTACTTGGAAATCTGCAATCTCATACACTGCATATATTTTCCTGTTAAGAATAAGTATGCAAATCAAGTTCTCACTAATTTATACTCTGACTTCAAAGTATAACACTTCTGACTGACACGCGATTACCAGAAGCTCCAAATACTTCAGCTTTAACCTCCTCTAGCCTGCATTTTCTAACATATAGTCAAATGTACCGCAAAGAAAAACTAAAGAAAATGCCCTTTTTAAAAGCCATTTTATGTGAATCTTTTTATTTTACATGTCCTCTACTACGTGATTTTAAAAAGCTGGCTGAAAACTGAGTGATTTTGTTTAGGAGAGTAATTGAACAAGCAATATCTGAGTTAATACTTCTGCAGGACGCAAATCTCAAGTGACTGGCTGGTCATCAGGATTACACCATGGAACCTGACTGCGCCGTGCTGGAAACTAACTGACCATTACAGAGAGCAAGTCTGAAATCTTCTCAGCCTAACTTAAGACAGATCTTCATTACAGGCACATATTGTCTATTTTTAATTCATACATTTAGCAAATTTAATTTCTATAGACTTTGAGCTAAAACATCACAACGTCAGTGAGTACCTCAAGAGCAGGCAGATCGTTATATGGAATGATTTCAAAACCTGGCATAAATGGTCCGAAACCATCGTAACTGGTTGGGTCTGTGGAACTGGAAACAGCAGACAATGTTCTACCCCAAAAATTTCCAGCTAGAAGTGAGAAATAAACAGCGATTATTCCAAACAAACCTCCAAATTTAATAAGCATTGTCCCCCAAAAATACCTTAGGAAGTTTTTTGGTTTTTGGTTTTTTTGGTGAGGAAGATTGTCCCTGAGCTCACATCTGTGCCAGTCTTCCTATTTTGTATGTGGGATGTCACCACAGCGTGGCTTGATCAGCAGTGTGTAGGTCCACACCCGGGATCCAAACCTGCAAACCCCAGGCTGCGGAAGCAGAGCGCACAAACTTAACCACTACACCACAGGGCTGGTTCCAGGAAGTTTAATTTTTAAAATACCACGGGTTTGCTTTAGAGAGCCTCCAGCGAGCCTCCACTTGTTAAAACAAAGTCTGATATTAAACACCATGGTTCATATGACCACTAAGGTCTGGCCTTGCAATTACTATTTCAGGCACTTGTCTGCTGAACCTCTGACTGTAATATATGGCCCTGAGGATAGATACTTATCTTTTCTTCCAACAATCCCGACCCCTAACAGCTGAGGCGTTCGACACATGCTTTTCTAGAGATGGTGCATTTATGATAGTGATATGAGAAAGATAATATCCTTCACAGAGAATCAGCAGTTTTCCTTTTAAAAATCCAATACTACAGGCTAACTACCCTACAGGACGAATTTTACATTTCTTTTGGAGAAAATATCCTCAGGTAATCCAAACACTTTCAGTTTTGCCTTCCCTAGTATTATAATCTTTTATGGCTAAATGACAGACATTTGCCTTTATTCAGGAACATTCTTTACTCATTAACTTATTGAATTAATGAGTTGGATTGAGGACCTCCTAACTGTTAGGCACTATTCTGTGTCGGGGATGGAAAAGTGATGACAACTGGCAGGCACTCTGCCCTCAAGGAACCTGGATTCTGGCAGGGAAGAAAACACCATAAACCAGTAAAGGGCACAAACGAGATCCTTCCAGCTGGGTTCAATTCAAGGACAGGAAGAAACATGCAGGATAATAGAGAGGTTGGGGGTTCGCCTACGCTTTATTTTTTTAACATCTTCCCACCACCTCCGGCAGCACCAACTCAATGAACCCAGTACTGAATTATTGTACTGTGGCTTCACAGCATCTCTAAATACCACTCTTGCAAAGCCTCTCTAACCTGTGAGCAATCCCCACTTTACTTGTCCACAAGCAACAGCATACTGATTTTGACCAGGCATGTTTAAGAGAAAATGCACCAATGACACCATGAGCCTATTTGCTCTGCTCCCTCCAGCCTCAGGGGTCTCATCCTCCGTAGCTTACCCTGCAGGAATAAGGGACTTACAGCTGGGGACAGTCTTCTCTGTCTCTCTACCCCAGACTCACCAGCTTCTCTCAGTACTCAGGTGAAAACACCTTTGCACCCTTTCCTAGTATGAAAGAGACTGGATACAGTCTGTGAGAATTAAAATCACTGGAAATGCCATTTTTGTTTACGAAACAGTTATGTTATCCAGCAAGTAAGGCAGAAGATTCCAAAATGGCAGGTCACAGAGCTGTGCAAAGATTTCTTTTTTGGGAATACTAATCTATCACCCCCAAATACCAACTATGGCCTCTCAGTTGAAATCTGGATTCTATTATGTAGTGGGGTTTATAATTTAACTGTATTACTCACAAGGCAGAATATTTAATGATTTCAACTATCACAACAATGAATTTTGACTGTGTGCAGTGACAAATTCATATATACTTTATGTTTTTAAAAATTAAAATCAAAGCTTTAAAAAACAGTCAGAACCTATCAATTGAACAGCATTATAAAGATTCCAAAAGTCAGATTCTATCATCTCAATTGAGTTTCAGTCTCCCTAATCAGTATTCAAGTCATTCCTCTCAACCATCCCCAGAAATACATCCAAGGGCAAACCCAGCCCTCCTCTTCCAACAGCTTCTAAGAACACGATACAATACATCAAACATTAAGATTCAAACTTCCCATCACACCTAGGACATGACTTCACTCTAACATAACCCAACCTCAACGACCTAACAAAAATCCTCCACCAGTAAGACCATCTAATTACCCAGAAAACTACTATTAAAAAAACTGGATAAGTGAATGGGAAATAAATCATACAGTAACTCATTTTAGGGAAGGAGGAGTAGGGAGCTATTTAGGAGAGAAAAATCTTATATATAAATACTTGGAAATAAACCCAAGCAAAGGAAATCCCTCATTAATTTTATGAAACACTTGGCAAATATGTATGAGGCGAACACATTAGAAATACACAATAGGTAAATTAAAGTGGCAAGCAACATTGTATGTTTAAATCATGTTGAATTTCACATACCTACAAAAACCATCTTTGCTTTGTATTTCGGGATACCCTTGACGGTATATCCCCATTTACGAGCAAGTTTGCAAGCGGTTTCTCCAGCCTCCACTCCTACCAAGAGAAAACATTTCAGTTTTAAAAATGTTTTAAGTTATCAGAAAATAATAAGATCATATTCTTAGCTATTTAACAAAAAAAGGAAACATTTTACCTGTATTCATAGGGAGAACTTTATGGTAGTTGAACAGTTTCGTAACAAACTCTTCGTATTCACCGAGCACATTATTATAGAAAGCCCTAGATGTTAACGTCAGTTTGTCCGCCTGAGTTTTCAGAGCATTCACAATCTTCGGATGACAATGCCCTTGGTTGACAGCACTGTAAGAACTCAGGAAGTCAAAATATTTTCTGCCTTCTACATCCCATACGTAAATACCTATAACATATAAGGAAAATCGTTTTAGAAAATTACTAAATTACATAAAGTTCAAAGATTAAGACACCTAGCAAGCCCTATGAATACCTACACAGGAACTCTTATTTAATACAGAATTGTGGTTTAAGACATGTTTTAGCTCAAGCATAATAAACTCTGGTTTATAAGGAATTATATTTTATCTGGCCAGCTTCAAATTACACATTTAACAAGAACAGTATAACATGAAAAGATTTTATAAACTGTGGAGTGAAACCTTTAATTCTAGCAAACTGGAGTTTGGAATTTAAAGGCAGAAGTTATACATTGCAAGAGACTATAATTAGTTGACTATAATAATCAGCAGAATGGAAAAAAAATTTCCAAATCATAAATCTATCTGATAAGGATCTAGTAACCAGAATTCTTACAACTCAACAACAAAAAGACACATAATCCAATTAAAAAATGGGCGAGAACAAGGGGCTGGCCCGGTGGCACAGCAGTTAAGTTCGCACGTTCCACTTCGGCGGCCCAGGGTTCACCGGTTCGGATCCCGGGTGTGGACATGGCACCGCTTGGCAAGCCATGCTGTGGCAGGCGTCCCACAGATAAAGTAGAGGAAGATGGGCACGGATGTTAGCTCAGAGCCAGTCTTCCTGAGCAAAAAGAGGAGGATTGGTGGCAGATGTTAGCTTAGGGGTAATCTTCCTCAAAATAAAAAAACAAGAGCAAGAACTTGAATGGACAATTCTCCAAAGGAGATACGCAAATGACCAACAAGTACATGAGAGGATGCTCAACATCATCAGTCATTAGAGAAATGCAAATCAAAACTACAACGATAACATCTCACACCCACGAGGATGGTTATAATTTTTTTTAAAAAAAGAAAACAAGCATTAATAAGGATGTAGAAAAACTGGAGTTCTCGTATATTGATAGGGAGAAGGTAAAATGGTATAGCGGCTGTGGAAAACAGTTTGGCAGCTCCTTAAAAAATTAAACATAAAATTACCACATGACCCAGTAATCCCACCCCTAAGTATATACCCAAAAGGAGTGCAAGATAGTTGTTCAAATAAAAATTTGAACATGAATCCTCATAGCAGTACTACGCACAATAGCCAAAAGGTGCAAACAACCCAAATGTCCATCAACTGATGAATGGATAAACAAAATTCGGTCTATACTATACACTAGAATATTACTCAACCATAAAAAGCAAGAAAGTATGAACACATGCTACAATATGGATGCACCTTGAAAACATGCTAAGTGAAAGAAGCCAGACACAAAGGGCCACATATTGTCTGATTCCATTTATATGAAATATCTAGAATAGGCAAATCCATAGAGACCGAAAGTAGATTAGCGGCTACCAGGCTCTAGGAGGAGGGGGGAATGGAGAGTGACTATTTAATGAGTATGAGGTTTCTTTTGGGGTAATAAAGAAGTTCTGGAACGAGCTAGAAGTGTTGTACAACATGTAAATATACTTAATGCCACTGAACTGAATGGTTAAAATGGTAAATTTTATGTTATGTACATTTACAACAATTTTCTTTAAAAGTTGACTATAGATGTTAAAATGTAGTGGGAGGCTTGACACCTAACCTTTACCATGTGCCTAACTCACTGTCTTAGGTGCTTTTGTACCTCTTCTCATCAAAAGCTCCCTGTGAGAGTGCTACCATCCCTGCAGTACAGAGATAAGGAAACAGATGCTTAGATTCATAACATGCCCAGGCTGGCACTCATGGAACCAGGACCCGAACCCAGGCAGTCAGATGCCCGAGTCCATGCTCTGCTGCTATAAGTGAAGAATATTTTTGCAAACCAAACTGTTTCCAAATTTGTAATATATAAATCTAGATTTTCCTTTGTTCAAAAGGAGATTTATCTGTATGACACTACTGGCCCCAAATAAAATACAAGTAAATGACAAAAATGTTTAATACCTTACACATCATCTTCTGGCCCAAAGCTAAGTAATATACTTAGGTTTTATTTGGTTAAGGCTGTTATTTCAAAATGTAGATTGAATCACCATTTGGCAACTATCAGTAACCACTTATTCAGGAAAGAATCACTAATGGATGCTACAAGTGTGAGTAAGTTTGATGAGTAACAGGGTATTTGCAGTCTCAGACCATGACCCCACAAGATATTTAAAAGGGAAGAATAAAAACTTTGCTGTGGAGAAGCCTGGCAGACAGTACCTTACCAGACAACCCCAAACTGAGGTTCATTCCACAAAATGATTGGCCCATACTCTTCAAAAATATTAGGTCAAGAAGACAGAGACTGATGAATTGTTCTGGACTAAAGAAAACTAAACAGACCTGAAAACTGAATGCAACCCATGATCTGAGATTTTCTTCTGCTTTACAGGACAAAGATGAAATGTGGATCAGGGCCGTAGATTAGATAACAGTGCTGTGTCAATGCTAATTTCCTGATTTTGATAATCACACTGTTGTTACAGAAGGGCAAGTCCGTGTGTTTCAGGAAAGACACACTAAGTATTTAGGGGTAAAGAGGCAGCATGTCTGCAACTTCCTCTTAAAGGGTTCAGGAAGAAAATGTAGTGATTCTGTGTGTGTGTATGTGTGTGTGCACGTGCGTGCTGTGTATGTGTGGCATGTGTACGTGTGTGGAGAGAGAAAGAAGATAAAGCAAATGTGGTAAAATGTTAGCACTTGGGAAATATGGGTGAAGAACAAAAGAAAATTCTTTGTACTACTCTTCCAATTTATCTTTCCTTAAATTTAAAATTATGCCAAAATAAAGGAAAAAAAGCATAGCAATATTATAGCACTTTACTTATGTATCTTACATCCCTCCTGGCAAGGTCTAGCATGACAAAGTCTGAAATGAGTTCATCTTTGTATTCCCCAGAGCACCTAAGAGCAAGAGCTAGGCACTCAATAAATGTTGAATTAACCGTGTCTGCAATATAGAAATTAAGTGCATCTGGAAAAATGTATACTGAGAAAACATAAAAGCAATTTTTACAAAAGGTTTCAAGCCGAAAAAGCAGGGAGGGGTGATTAGATTAATTCAAAATGTACCTTTTCCTCTCTCCAGGGCTACAGGTAAAGGATGGTAGTTGTGGGCACCATATTTAGATTCCCGTTCAAAAATGTAATCAGAGGATGGAGGGCCTTGGACCGTTTTTTTAGTTGCAACAGATGTAGCAGAAGCCACTGAAGAATGAACTCCACGACGAAGCAGGGCAACAGTCTGCAAATGTGCTAGTTTGGAAAACATCGCGTCCTTCAAGTAGGAATATCACCAACCTGTCCAAAGAGAAGAGCAGGCATTAAGAGTAAGACTCTTCTGGGGCCGGCCCGGTGGTGCAGCAGTTAAGTGCGCACGTTCCGCTTCTCGGTGGCCCAGGGTTCGCCAGTTAGGATCCCGGGTGTGGACATGGCACTGCTTGGCATGCCATGCTGAGGTAGGCCTCCCACATATAAAGTAGAGGAAGGTGGGCATGGATGTTAGCTCAGGGCCAAGCTGCCTCAGCAAAAAGAGGAGGACTGGTAGTAGTTAGCTCAGGGCTAATCTTCCTCAAAAAAAAAAAAAAGAGTAAGACTCCTCCCAGAGTGATGTATGTCAAATCATTACATACGTGTTGAGCATTTACCATAGTCTGATGAAGAATCATGAAAACGAGAACTGAGACCTAGCCCTTGCCTTTGGGAGGCTTGAAGGCCAAAAAAGGGAACAAGCATGTCAACATTTACAGTAAGACCTGACAAGTGCTACGGCAGGATGTGCACAAAGTGCTACAGGCTAGAAGTCCAAGAGAGCACGTGAGGAAAACGAGGAAACCATGGATCGGAGGCCAGGGGCTTTGACTCTTCCCTTACCCTCCTCTGCACGCTTGACCGTTTTATAACAAACACACACACGCACTCACTCTTTGTGTTAAGTCCTCAGTGCCGACAGCCCACCAAGGACAGGGAACTCAATCTGGGGGGTGAGGCAAGGCTGAAGAGCAGAGGACTAAAGAGTTGGCACCTGGCCCTGTAGACTGAGCAACCACCCGACAGGCATTTAGCAGGAGTGCGAGACCTCAGACAGCCAGGACTGTAGGGCAGAGATGGGAGGAAAGGAGACAAATGAGAGGGGCAGCCTGCCAAGAGTGGTCACGGGGACGGGACAGAGGCACTGAGAACCACTCTGCACATCACCCTCTCCCTGTGTGTGAGGAGGGAAGAAACTACAGAATTTGGTTTCTACAAAGATATTAGGGTGATCATTTAGTAAGGTACATAAACGTCGAATCACTATGCTGTACACCTGAAATCAACATAAGATTGTGTGTCAATTATACTTCAATAAAAACAAAGATAACAGGGACCATCCTAAAGGAAAAAGAGCACGTGGGGAGAGGAAAAAGTGATTTCTTGGGGGATGGGAAGGGCTTTCTAAGTATAACACCGAAAATAGAAACTACAAAAGGTAAAATCTATTATTTAGCCACAAATATCTAAAACTTCTGGAGGTCAAAATTATCATAAACAAAGGCGAAAGGCAAAAAGACCAGGAAAAACATGTTTTGTAATCTATAATGAATAGCCTCTGAAGAGCTTTTACAATAAGTTCACCAGAGCAAAACATGTATATATTACACATGGTATATGTTATATAATTTTATAAGTTAAATAAACTATATATTACACACACATATACGAAATGAAAACAGGCAATTCCCAAAAGAAAGAGTCTACTCTGCTAGGATGGTTATTTCTATAAAACTAATCCCAAAAAAACTGCAACACAAAAGCAACTGTTTAAAAGAAAAAAAGGTAATTAGGAACTAGAGAACATCAAAGTACCATAAGCTAAGAATTTTAGTAATAAAACCTAAACATCACTGAGCAAATCGGCATTTACTTGCAGTGTGTATATGTCAGAGTCTCAGCTTCTCTTATCCTGTCACTACCAGCCCTACAGCTGGCCCCTCCACAGTGCCTCCCTTACGGTTTTGTATCCAATCGCTACATTAATAGGCATGATAACCCATGAAGTAAAGACTAAGCTATAAAACAAGTTAAGAATAAAAAGGCAATTGGAGAAAATGCATAGCAATCATAGAGGGAGGGAGTGTTTTTTTAAAAGACAAATTCAAGATTAATAGAAAATTGCCAACAACTAGGTATACTTAGTATGTCTACACTTATTTTTTTAAAAAGACTAGTGAGTTCATGTTTCAACAGAACTCTATCAACAAGTCAAACTATGCATAATCTTCCAGCACTCACTCTGAGCTGCCAAATTAGCAAAACTTAATACTTGGAGCTTGGCTTACTTCCCTTTCAATTTGGCACGACCCAGCAAATCCAGTATGCTCAGGAATTTGCAATTACTAAACAAAACCCAGCACTCTGGTTTGTCAAGACTCACCAGCTATCCGTTCTTCCCACGGTTCCAAATAGAATACAGATTTCTAACCTGAGATCCAGGGACAGTCTTCAGAGGGTCCAATAGCTACTGAAATAAAATGCAGAATTGTATGTATAAGTGTATTTTTCTAAGGAAAAGGTCCCTAACGTTCACCAGATTTTATTTCAAGGATGTATGTATCAACAATTTAAAAAGGTGCATGAGAGGGGCCGGCCCGGTGGCGCAGCGGTTAAGTTCGCACGTTCCGCTTCTCGGGGGCCCGGGGTTCGCTGGTTCGGATCCCGGGTGCGGACATGGCACTGCTTGGCAGCCATGCTGTGGTAGGCGTCCCACGTATAAACTAGAGGAAGATGGGCACGGATGTTAGCTCAGAGCCAGGCTTCCTCAGCAAAAAGAGGAAGACTGGCAGTAGTTAGCTGAGGGCTAATCTTCCTCCAAAAAAAAAAAAAGGTGCATGAGAATCATTAGACTGAAGATAGCTGCTAGCAAAAACATCTAGTACTAGACAGAATCTCCCCAAAATACTACTGCTAAGTCTAAAACATTGATTTTAACTTTATTTCTCTGGCTCTTTATGTTCTATTAAGAATTAAGGCTGTATTTGACCAACTAAAATTAAAACCACACATTAATTTTTGCCTTGATCAAATTAGCAATAAAACATGGCACTCCTTAGTTTTACTCTAAACTGAAACACTTTCTGAAAAACCTTGTAGCCACAATAAAAGCCTTACAAATGTTTGTACTCTTAGACCAGTAATTTCACTCTCAAGAGTCTATCCTAAAGAAACACTTGGGAATGGGGAGAAACATTCATGCATGAAAGTTGTTCAACAACATGAACAGTTCAAAATAATCACATCCATAGTAACATGTTGCCATTTAAAATAATTACAGTTTTTAGTGACATGGAGAGACGTTTTAGGATGTTTAAGTGAAGAAAACAAAATGATATATGCAGAATGTTCAACTCTGAAAAAAATAAAAGGAAAAAGTATACAGAAAGGCACAAATAAGTTCACTGTGGTTATATTTCTACTATTCTGTACTTCCCACATTTACTAATGACCATGAATTACATTTATAATCAGGAAAAAAGTTATTTAAAAAATTATTAAAAATGAAATGAAATGTAGCATAGTGGTCAAGTTCACGCACTCTGCTTCGGCAGCCGTGGGTTTGCAGGTTCAGATCCCAGACAGGGACCTAGCACTGCTCATCAGGCCACACTGTGGCAGCATCCCACATGAAATGGAGGAAGATTGCCACAGATGTTAGTTCAGCGATAAACCTCCTCAAGCAAAAAGAGGAAGACTGGCAACACATGTTAGCTCAGGGCCAGTCTTCTTCAAAAAAAGAGAAAGAAACAGTGTCTGCCTAGGTTGTCACATTAGACAAAGAGAAAGCTTAGGCAACAAACAAAACAAAACTAAGAAAAAGAAACGGTTTGACAAGCTTGAGAAAACCGGTTGTGGTTAAAAGAAACACAAGGGACAAGGTCAAATTCTAAAATAAAAACTATTCTCTAAGATGATTTTGCTATCAAGGTCTGCAGGTCTGCGAATTCACTAGAACCAGGCAGAGAGGGACTAAAAACAAAAAAAGCACTAAAAACTCTCTAACTAGTATCTTTTAAGTTAATTACCAGTCTAAAACAATATTGCAAGTGAAAGGAATCTTTGACGTTATCTATTTTCAACATTCTCATTTTATACAAGAAGTTATTTGCTCAACTAATTTGCAACAGAAATGGGAGAAAATATCCATTTATCTGCAGCCTTCAGGCCGTCTTATTAAAGATAACTACAGCTTACTGACAAAATAGTCACATTCAAAACATCACTAATTCTCATCCTTAAGGTTTTTAAAGACCAACTCTGGATAATTAATCCTACTGGGAGAAGTCCGCGGTGGCCGGTTGCCTGCTGACACGTACTAGAATCCTGTAAGCACTTTTCTGTTAAAGAAGCTTCTGTGTTCAAGTTACTGTGCTTGGCACTACACAAGAAATATTAGAACAGAATTAAGATGGGCTTAAAAATAGCCAACATCAATAATTCCCTTTTCCAAAAAGCCTTGGAAAACCAGGAGAGAAGAATGAAAAGTCCACAGAGTTTGCAGACTAGCATTTAAATTCTGGCTGGGGCTCTCAAGAGGATGTTTTTGAGCTTCCATTTCACCATTTGTAAAATGAGGTCGAAGCCATTCAAGGTCATCAAGGAGGATTAAGAGATAATGATAAGGGCCAAAGCTAGCACAACACGGCTACTCAATTAGTTCCCTTCCTCCTGTAAATTCATAATAGAGTTAGCCAATTTCTGCCATATAAAAATCAACAGTATCATGGTTTCTTTTTTAAACTGGAGGTTTTTTCTTAAAAGAAAAAAAAGTTTTCTAGTGATAAAAAATTACAAACACAGACAAGAAAATTAGCTGCAATTCCATATTTAGGAGATAACCATCAACTTTTTTTTTTCTGTGTATAAATACTACACACATTAGCTTTTTTTCCACACTTCCCTATAGAATTTACCACATAAGACCCTCCTGAAGACTCCCAGGAACGTTGCACAGACTCACGTCACAGGTCCTAACCCTTCAGGACACTTGTTTTCATGCCTGTCCCCCTACCAGAATCCTACTAGGCTCCTTAAAAGGACAGTAAGTGTGTTTTAAAATTGACTTTGCATAAACAAGGTTATTCCTAAATACACTTAGAACTCCTGAAGGAGGCAAGGCAGCAACAGAAAGTCAGCAAGTCCATCCAGGGAGAAGATTAAGTCCCCAATCCCTGATGGAGTTGAGTCTAGCTCCAGAGGCTAACATTCTCTCAGACGTCACCAGGAGGAACCACTCTTTCCATGGAGAGTTCACACCATTAGATTTAACAGCCTTCAAGAGTCCAATAACCTGTATACTATCTGTGACCATTCCAGGCTGCTGTCCTACATGTAAGCCAGGCCCACACTCAGGTCCCGGAGAAGGGCATACGTTGCTATTGACAGCAAAAAATTTAACACTGAATGTTTTCAGTAATCCACATAATGAACAAAGTTCTTCAAGCTACTTTTATTCCCTCCTGTCTAATCCATCCTGTCTACATGAGAACATACCTAAAATAGAATTTCCATAAAAGGCTGCATTTTTAAGAGTTAATGTAGTGTACACTATGAAATACTAGTTTTTAAAATCACTCTAAAAGAAAAACCAGTGCAAATTCATCAAAAAGCCACTTAAAATATTCCACTTGAGGAGTAAATCTGGTTTTACTATATTTGTCAAATATTTACTTTTCTGGAGGTAACCATTCACAAATACAGTCCATTTTTAAAAGTTCTGCCCACAAAAGTTTTTTGGCTTTCTTTTTTACGTAATCTGGCTAAAATTCAACTCAAGTGCGTCACTGGCAAACACCTGAAGCATTACTATTGGAAAAGGACTGGCTCGGCTACACCACACCCTCCACACAGCTCCAAATTTGGTCCATCACTATTTTAAAACATATGAGATTTAGCCCATCTCCAAGAACTCAGTAAAGGGCAGAAAATATGGACACAAGTAACTGTAATAAAGGCAGACCATAAGGGGAAATACACTTAAGACAGCCTCTCTGGGGCTGGCCCAGGCCCAGTGGTAAGTTCACGCCCTCAGCTTCGGAGGCCCAGGGTTTTGAGGGTTGGGATCCTGGGCGCTCATCAGGCCACGTTGAGGCGGTGTCCCACATGCCACAACTAGAAGGACCCACAACTAAAAAAATATGTACAACTATATACTGGGGTGATTTCGGGAGAAAAAGCAGAAAAAAAAGATTGGCAACAGTTGTTAACGCAGATGCCAGTCTTTGAAAAACCAAAGAAAAAAAAAGATAGCCTCTCTGAGGGGGAAAAAAACGCCTTTTCAAGAACTTTTACTATTTAAAGTTATACTGAATTTTTTCAGGATGCAAAATTAACCTTGAACACCACGAAAATCTGTAAACTCAAAACAATGAGTTTTATTTAAATTTTGTTTTTATTAAAAGATTCCACTTTCATACTTGGATCTTTTCCATAGTCAGGAGCTAGATTCTCTGAAGATGGAACCAGGATATTCTAATGAAAGAAGTCTACTGTGTGTTTCAAGTGGCTAAGTAAAGCACTTGGATTACATACCTAAAGAACAAGTTCCGGGTTCAAACTGGGAGATCTACATTACCCACAGGAACTCTTACAATTCCAAAGAAGAGATTCAGAAATGAGAAACCGGAGATTAGTAGTTTCTTAAGGTAAAGCCACTTCATTCTAAAGTCACTCCTTTTTCCCCTTATCAGAGGTAAAAAGGAACGCCAAGAAGGTAAGAGAGAGAGTGACAAACGGAGGACACCGAAGGTCACCGAGAACAAGTGTCCCAATGAATTCAACCAGAATTGACTGATGCTCAGCATATTGCAAAGGAACGCTAAGGATGAAGTCTTAGCGCTGAAAGCCCTGTTGGCCCCAATCCCCTGACATCGTCAAATTAACCTGCACCTTACTGTAAGGTAAGGCTCTACTTCCCTAATTTTTTATTTGGACAAAGGCGGGGGGGAGGGGGGACGGCGTGGAAAGAGAGAGATTGGGGGAGGGGAGAGATGGGCAGGTTGGCTGCAGGGCCCAGGAGCTGCCCAGGGGCACTCGGACCCCCTCCCCGGAGTCTCCATAGGCGCCCCCCGCCCTGTAACAAAAGCCACCGTTCACTGAGCAGCTCCCCGCATCCACAGTGCACGCTCCTTGCGGACCTCAGGAACCCCAGGCGCCGGCGCCCCAAACTCCTCCTTCCCGGACACGCGGAGGCGCGCGCGAGGCGCTCGGGGCCGCGGCGCGGGGGCTGCGGGCCGGGAGGACTGCGGGCCGGCCCCCACGGGCCGCGCGCCAAGGGCCCCGCCCGGCGCCGCCAGCTCTGGCAGGTAGTGCTGCCACATCCACAGCCTCGCTCTGCCTCCCGCCGCCCCGCCCCCCCGGCGCTGCGGACCGGGATGCGCCGCGCCCCTGCCCGCCGCGGCTGCGCGCCGGCCCGCGGGACCCGCCGCCGGCCACCTCCCCGGGCCGCGGAGGCACAGCCCACCCGCCCGCCGAGGCCCAGCGCGCCCCTCAGCCCGCTCCCCGGAGCCCCTCCCGGAGCCGCCCGCCTCGCCGGCCGCTGTCGGCGGCGCCCCGGCCCCGCCCGAGCCCCCGCCCCGCCGCGCCGACGCGGATACCCGGCAGCGCCTCCGACACCAGCGGGGACACGCGGCGCCGTCTGAGAGATAGCGGCAGTGACCGCGCGTCACGGAGCTTAAGGCGCGGCTTCCGCCCCGCCCCGCAAGACGCCCTTGCCGCCCATTGGCTGGCGGCGGAGGGCTGGGCACCAATCGCCGTGGCCCGCCCTCTGCCGCCCACCCCGCAGCCGCGCGTAGCGGACCCCGCCAGGGCCCAGAGTTCGAGCCGCGCTGGCGCCTGCTGGGCGGGGCTGCTGGGGGCCGCCGCCCGGGCCCTGCGCTCGGGCGCCCACCTGGCCAGTGCCTTTCCCTCGGTCGCTCACTGCCCTCCCTTTACTGACAAGAAGACGAGACCCGAAGGGATGAAACGTCGATTGGGCCCCCTTGGGCTCGCGGCGTTTCCTGGGCCCCCCCGGACAGCGGGCTCGACATCCAACCCAGCGCTCCCCTGCAGTGCTCCCCGCCCCTGGCCTCGCAGAGCCGTACGTGGGCGCCGACCCAGCCTCGCCCCAGACGCAGCTCCGGGCCCCACGCCCCTGAACCCTGGTGTGCAGCAACGCTGTGGCACTTCTGAGTCCACCCCCAGACGTCCTCACTGCAGCTGGAAAACGCGCTGCCCACGTCCTCGTGGTGCTGATGGATACTTACACAACTGCAACGCACTCAGTGAAGTTTGTCTACGGCGCCCTCCGCAACCCGACATAAAACTCAAAACTCAAAATGATGGTCCGGGATAACCTCCTGTTCGAATTGGAAGGGACTGGGGCATGATTTAGTCTACACCATTTTTGTTGTATACTAGGAAACAGAGCCTGGGAGAGGGGAAGAGACTTACGGGGGGTTATCCCAGGGTGAGGAGCAGCCCAGCCCTGTGTACCACCACCCTGCTCTGACAGCAGTCGCAGAGCTGCAGGGACAGAGGACTGCAGGTCACCTGTGGTGGTCAAGGGCCCAGCCAGCACAAGTCTGGAAATTTGAGGTGTATTTGTTTAAAGGAATTGCTTAAGTGTGGACAGATAAACCACAAGGGGTGGAGAAGTAACCCGCGGCTAGTGCACCAGGGAGAGCCATTGTCAATCCTAGGCCTAAAGGGAGTGGTTTCCTGAACCTAGAGTGAGAAAGAAGGGAGAAGCCACGTGCCTGGGCCATGGTCATGAGAGAGCTCACAGGGAGGAAGCGGGGTGGTAAGCATTCTGACCTCTCATCTCCTGCCAGAGTTCTCCAATAAGCCCAACCCACTAGGAACCCAGAGACCTAGGGAGCCATTTAAGGCAGCCCCTGCAAGTCAGCCTCCTGGGACACAGCCAGGGTGGGGAAGGCGGGAGAGCAGATTCTGTGGGAGGGCAAATGGCAGACATTCAACACACATAGCCAGCTAAGATAAGTCTTAGCTAAGTAGAAAGCTATATGGCAGTGCCTGGAAAATGGGGTGGGCGCAGAGGCAGAGCTGTGAACAGCAGAGCCCATGTCTGCAGGTGTCTGTCCGGAGCAAGACGCCAAAAGGGATTCAGTCCTCCTTGATTGCATCTGCCCTAGACCAAGGCCACTCACTCGGACGGTTGTGGCCGTGCCCTCTCATGCAGAGTAGGACTTTGCCTTTTATTTTTTTGCTGGCCCTCCACACCCCTGATACAGAGTGATTAATTTCTTGGAAGCTGGGTCGTTCTGCCCAAGGGATCAGAGAAGAAGATTTCTCCAACGTCCTGCTCTACCAACCTGGGCAGGTGTGTGGGGCCCAGCCCAGCTCTTGGAACTCTGACTGAGCCCAGGAATCCCCGGTATGCCTTGACAAGTAGGAGCAGGTGCTTCTGAGTTCGTGAAGGGGAACATGACACCCAAAATCCGAGTGAAACATCACAATATTTTGCAGTCCCTTTGGACTCACAGATAACGTGCTCTTTAATGAAAAAAATTCTCATATTCGAGAAACTGCTGAGAATGTCTAGGTTTTATCTCTTCTCTCTTATCAGAAAAACACAATAGGTACAGAGAGCATGATAATATTTTATGGTTTCTCTATTAGCAGCTGTTTTTCAGCTTAATGTGGCCTTGGAGACCTGGACTTGAAAGCAGCTTGTTTTCAACCAAGAAACAGAGCTGTTCTATTGTATGCATTTTATTTGTTCAGTCTGGAAAGATGTAAGGACAGAGCATACATTAGAAAGATTTTTGATCCTCTAAAACCATTCATAGATTCAAGTAATTAACCATACGAGAACCATAAAACTGGAAGATATAAAGACTGACTCTGTAGCAGATATCCAACACCTAAATTAATTTCATTCATACGTTCGACAAATGTCCCTTGTGTGCCCACGTGCCTGACACTACAAGGGGTTTCACACCAGGCAAGAGCATGTGGGTCTCTTTACTAAGGAGGGAGGAGTTCAGGAAATGCTCCTTCAATGGGTATGAACTGAAATCTTGCAACTGTGATCATCTAAAAAAGCTGCAACTACATAAAAAAGGAAAGAATTCTTAATTTCCTTATACAGTCAACTCTCAATTATTCCAGGACCAGAAAAACAAGTTATGGGTTACACAAGCCTCTTGCTTTTCATTTCTTCCCACAGTGTCCAACTCATTATCAGTATAGCCTACATATCCTTGGTTTGCAGTGATTAAAAAGGAAAATCCAAGCTGACAGCCAAGGAGAAAGTCTGGTAAAGAGACTCAGAAAATAAGTGTTTGGTGATTTTTATCCAGCAGGAGAAGTTTTTTTTTTTTGCTCCAGATTATGATCACTCTAAAAAGATGTCTTCCAACAAAAGACTCGGTGACATACATAACTCTTTCCTCCTGGGGACACTGCCCTGAGCCGGGGAGGGCGTTTATATCTGGAGGAGAGTAAACCTCTTTAAAGTCCAGAATGGCAGGGATCTGGCAGGAGTGAGTGAAGCAAAGTGGTGATGAGCGTAGGAGAGGGGAAGCTGGTAGAAGTTCTGAAGTGAAGTCTGAAATGGAGACGATGGGCAGAGATTCAGAAATTTTGCAGTGAAAATATTGACTCTCATACGAGGATGTGCCTGCCAAGAGTACTTGCTTTCTCTCCCTCATAGCTGAACTCCGCCCAAGAACTCCAGCTGCAGCTCCTGTTCCCCCCACACACACCTTCCCTGACTCCCCACGTCCCCCTCTCCCTTAGCTCTGCCTGTCCACTTGTCACAGTACTGCCTGTGGCCATTGACTAACTTACTCCACATCTCCGGGTCTATCTAAGTCTTATCTTCCCAACCAGACTCTAAGTTCTTGAAGGTAAATCCTGTCTTGCAGGATTTTTACAGCCTCCCAGAACCCGTTTCCATGCTCCTTAAAGTCCTAGTAAGTTTATAAAGTTATGTGCTAGACGGAAGGGGATAGACCAATTCTTAGCATGGGGGATGAGATCTGGAACAGAGCTGGGTCCAGAAGGGGAGGTTCTTGGGAGTTGTCGACTGTAGGTGGAGGACATTGTGTGCCTGGAAAGCTGAGTAGAAAAAGAGAGCAGAAAATACCAGAAGAGAGATGGAGGCAAACCAGGCCAATTTGGCTCCAAGAGCTAGAGGTGAAAGTGGGTTTTCTCATTTGTTTTCCAGGGTTTTTTTTGGTGAGGAAGACTGGCCCTGAGCTAACATCTGTTGCCAATCTTCCTCTTTTTGCTTGAGGAAGATTGTTGCTTAGCCAATATCTGTGCCAACCTTCCTCTGTTTTTGAATGTGGGATGCCACCACAGCATGGCCCAAGAAGCAGTGTGCAGGTCCGCCCAAGATCCAAACCCACGAACCCCAGGCCGCTGAAGCAGAGGACGCAAACCCAACCACTACGCACCAGGCCAGCTCTAAGGTGAAGGTGTAATTCAGCTCGATGGCAAATATTCAAAGAGAGATTTGGCTCGTGGACCCGAAAAGTCAGCTAATTCTCAATACTGAAAGATAATGAATATGTTATTTTGAACATATGAACTAGAGCTGTAAGTGCAGAATAGATTTTAGAGCTGAAGAGCTTTAAAGACCTAATCTTACACTTTTAAAGACAGAGACATCCAAGATTCCAAGGCAAAGGGCCCCAGCCAGTGTTACGAAATAGACAATGGGGCAGCCAAGAAGCCAGGTGTTCCACACCATCATGTTCCATGCTTCAGACACTTAATCAGAAAAAAGAATTTCAACTAGCAACAAAAAAGGTAAAAGTGAAATTTTCTGGCAAAAGTTTAAGTAGTGAGTTAGCAGTAGCATTTATTTGGAAAATATTTGCATCGCTCCTTAATTAGAAAATAAAATATGAGAAACCTCAAGTACTAGTTAAATATTTACATCCTTATCTATTCAGGTACTAAAAACCTCAGTGTATTTTGCAATGATTTTTTTTATTGATTCTATGAAGGCTAACTCTGAGTGCCAAAACTTGGGATAACTTTTATAACTTTTCTCTGGAGAGCTTTAATTCTGACTCATTTCAGTTGGACTACAGTAAAAAAAAATTTTTTTTAAATAACTTATTAATTAAAAACAATTCCAACTTTTCTCTTGATATTGTTGACTTAAAGGTAGTTTTAAGATTTTTGAAATTTCCGTTAAATGCTATTAAATAAATATATTATAACATGGTATTATAAATCATTTCATCTTTATTGAAGACAGTAAGTGTGTTCTGCTCAGAATTTTGCCAAGAGGGCTCATCATTTTAGAAAGTTGAGTGACAGACAGCGCTGCCAGCCTGATATTCGAGTAACTAGTAGGCTGTGCATTTGTGGCTGTCACATCGTTAATAATGGCACATGGTCCTTCTCATTCCTTCTGATTTGGATTCTCCCCTCGAAGGAGTTTAGTGATGAAGATGGATTAAACCCTTAAATTAGGGGTGAGAAATTATATTCTTCCCTGCCACCTCAAGTTTAACTTATTCCACTCATTGAACTAATTTACTTTTGTTTTCTGACGTCTGCATTAGTTTGGATATAGATTCAAGCACCAGAAGATCTCCGCTACACTAGTCTCCCCATTTTTAATTTAATTTTGAACTATGTATGCAGTGCCTCCTAACTCACAAAGCCCCTGGCTGAGCTCTGAGAGAATGAGGGGACTGAAGAAATTGTAGCTCCCGCCTGCGGAGGAGTGAGTCT